TGGGCCATAATAATCATATACATTGTATATTGACAAAATAAAAACTTAACGAAAAAAAAAAGAAAGATAATACAAATCTTTCCATGAACTTTTTTTGTTTGTTTTTTGTTTTTGGTGGCTGGCCAGTATGGGGGATCCAAACCCTTCACCTTGGTGTTATAACACCATGCTTTAACCAACTCTATGAACTTTCTGAAGCCACTTCATATAGTTTGATGTTTCAGAGCCTGTCTGGATTTAGACTGCCAGTCTTCCAGATTCTAAATCTTAGTGTTCTCTTCTCTAAAATGGGAGTAATTTTACTTATGTCATTAGAGTTGTTTTGAGGATTAAGTAATACATATACCGTTTAGCTCAGTTATTAGAGTGCCATGCTGATAACTTCATGGTCAAGGGTTCAGATCGCCGTACTGGCCATCCACAAAAAAACCCCACAAAAAACAACAAAAAAAGATAATAACACATCATCAGATTCATAGTAAGTGGTCAATAAATGTTGACTATTGCTACTATCATCATTATCATGATTGTAATTATTAAATGAGTTTTGTAAGAGCCTTACAAAAGGCCATATTTTTTACATCAGTGTCAGGTACATATTAGTTTAATTCATAATCATATTGGATGATTGCTATCCTAGTCTGTTTTTCTCTCTAAATATGATAAATTTGCCTGATTATAGGAAAAATTGCTTTAAAAACATTTAAAATATGATGTTCCTAGTTAGAGAACATTAAATATATTTGCCATGGCAAGGATAAAAATGAATGTGATCTGCTGTTTTTAATCTAACATAGATGCTACGGATATCTTTGGTTAATAAATTTAGAGCTGTACCATTATTTTTAATAATTGAATAGTGTTCCTTTATATATATTACATACATACACATGTGCATACGTACATAAATCATAATTTATTAACCAATCACCTACTGATGGACATTTTGTTTACCTCTTGCTTTTAGTCATTTAGAGCAATTTTCTGTGAACATTCTCTTTCCAAATGTGTGTGATGATTTCTTTAAGGTAAATTCCTGTAAATGGATTTGTTATATCAAAAGATACGCACATTTTACATTTTGATATGTATTGTTTACTCCTGTCTGTAAAGATTAATACCCAAACTAGTTTTTAGATGAAGGGATTATATTGCATTTGTTGTTTGCTGGGTAAAGTTGAAGGTAAAATGTTCAAGACAAGAATAATTAAAATGTTAATGAGTATGTGTATGTGTTTATGAGAATTTGTTGAGCTATAATTTACTCACAAAATTACTTGTTGTCTTGGAAATCCATATACATATTATAAAAACTACTTCATTATCAGTTAAGATTCTGCCAGATGTATGTTTTTATGTAATCTGACAACTACAGAGCTGAATTATTAATCTTTCTGAAAATCACACTTGAACTGAAATCATAAGAAGTCGTGATTGGCTTTACAGCAGTCAGTGCCTGTGTAGGAGAGGTAGACAAGTTTTGTTTCTTCCAGTATTCTTAGTGTGTCAGGGAGAGCTTCTTTTGTTGCTTACCAATGAAGTAGGAGTTAAAAATGTCCCAAATGGAGGCTTTAAGGTGCCAAACTATAGCAAATTGGAACATGTAGAATACTTTTAAGAAATAATCCTTAAAGTTTGGTTTTTAGTGTTGTTTTTATTTGATTCTTTATTGCCCCCTCTTTTTTATTATATATATATATATATTTTTTTTTTTTTTTTTTTTTT